ACTGTATTCAATCTCCAAGTATGTATTACAAGAAAAAAAAAGAATAGCTGAATTATCAGATATCTCAAGAATTACGGTATCTTGATATGTCATAGTGATGTACATCAATATTGGAAACAATTTTCTGACCAAAAAGTTTTCTCCCTAAAGTATTGAGAGTAATGCTGTCTGTCTCCCTCCGTGCGTGTGTGTGTTTGTCAATCTCTCTTTCTTTTCTCAAGTAAATATTCGTCAAAACAATATATCGACGAAAATATATGCCGACCATGACTGTACATATTGTCGCCGACGACAATATGTGCTGGTGCTTGACTGTACATTTTGTCGTCCATTATGCAGGAGGAAAATAAGGCTCTTCTAGGTACATATTGTCGCCGGCGACAATATGTACCGATAAACGACAATATGTGCAGTGAGGGTAGGTACATATTGTCGACGACGACAATATGTACAAAACGACAATATGTACTGTCACAGGGGTCCTGTTCACAGATTTGTATTGTTTGTATTTTTTCTTTTAGATAATCACTGTTCGTTATCTGCTCTCTGTTAGACAAGTTTCTTGGACAAATCTTGCAAGTAAAATCAAAATCTGGCACTGATGACGAAGATGTATTTAATATGGACACCGCAAGGCGAAGATTTACATATGAAATTCAAGAGCATTAATACTGCTTTATTGTTACTATAGTTTGATAAGACTTCGGAAAAATTACTATCTACTAGAATTCTGGTATTTTTTCGTGACTCTCAAATCTCATTTTAGAATATTTGTCAGTATACTCTGTATTAAGTGACATAGAAATTGAACACTTATGAATTTATTTGATAACTTCCAACATCAATTCGTTCTTCAAATCTAGCCCGTACACTGCATTCATTGATTGAACATAAGCTGTATATTAACACTTAAATGTTTCACTATGCCGAAACTCATCAGTTGAACTTGAGGTTCCAAAGGTTTTGCAATTCTTTTGTAATGTTCCAAAAAAACTATTGCAGTTCCAATGAAGAAAATTAAGTGCATTTGATTTACATTAATCTTACAAGATTTGTCTTACAAAGTGCAAAATTACTAAAACGTACAATTTCATAATATCGAAACCGCCATCAATTCATAAATTACCGGTACATTTACTAATAAAATGGCAAGAGAAGGAGCATATCCGTTTTCAAAGATTTTTAAAGAAGTTGGATCCTGTTACCAAAAGTAATGAGAATTTTTTATCTAGTATATTTATGAAATCTACACATATAGCTTAATTAAAAATCAAATAAAAAAATAGTGGTCAATGCGCTTCTTTTGGCTCTACGGAGTTTTTAATATGACCTTTTGTAATTACGTCTAACACATAAATCAATTTTTCTCAGTTTTTCCTCTAATATTTTTTTTATCAAAATAAATCATGGGAACAAACACAGTCTTTTTCATCTTGAATTGTCACATTAAAATTTGTGGCAACAAAAAAAGTTTCAAATTTCGTCACAAAGTCTATTAATTGACCTTTCTGCACTCGAAAAATGTCATTTTTTTCTGGCAATAAAAATTTGACAAGCAATAAAATCATATGAAAGTAAAGACAATTTTTCTGAATTTAAGCAGAATGGTTACAATTATCTTATTAATTCAGAAAAGAAAATTAAGAGTGAAGGTTTGTGATGTTAAGTTTTAGATTTTACTAAAGAAGTGTTAATTTTAAGCTTACACTGGGCTTTTTTCCCCCACAACTTTCACAATTTATTTGCTATATTTGTCACATATGATGATAGAATTCATGATAGTTAATTAGATATATAATTTAGGACCAGCATTAAACATTTCTCTGCACAAAGTAACTCTGCGTGCAGGCTGTATGTAAAAAAAAGGAATTCAAACTTAAAAATACTGTAATCACTTCGAAAGAGAAAAATCTATCATTTTCTTCTAAAAAACCTTCCGCCACAAAAATAGTTCCCCGCTTAATGCTTTCGGTATGGAATTTAATCATAGGGTTTTAATTGAACATAGTTTAAGGAGCATTGTAGACTCCAAATTTATTGTAAGTTCTAAAACATTACGAAGAATTTTTTAAATAGAGGTCAAGACACAAATCTGCTCAAAAGCTCAGAAACGAACCTCTTTAAGAGGGTTTCCATAAACAGGTACCCCAAAACTAATTATTACAGATAAATTCTATTATATTCTAGAGTAAGATAAATGCTCAGAGATATTTTACAGAAGAACTTACGACTAAGATCAAAATATGTTTTTGCTGACAATTTTCGTCTTTGAATAAATTTGAAAAAAGTTATATAATCTATTTTCTTATGATTCTGGAAAAATATTTTAGAAAAAAAATTTAATAGAAAATATTTTATAGCCAAAACGTTAAGAGACGCTATAATTATTGGTCTTGGTTGTTAGTTTTTTTTTTTTTTTTTTTGTTTTGTTTTTTTTTTTTTTTTGTAAAATGGACCCCTGCAACTTTCAAATTTGGGTTCTGAGGGCCATTTTTCTTCTAGAAGTATAGTTTTTTAATGAAAAATTACGAAAGCCTTCTCTTAAAAAGAAAATACCGAGTTTATCTCGTATCAACGAGAATATTTTCTCGTTCTTACGAAATGATTTCGTAATAACGAGAAAAGATAGCATTAATAAGAAAAAGTTTTCTCGCATTAGTTTACTAGTAATTTCGGGAAAAAAATCTTTATAACGACAAAAGAACTAGTAATAACTTCTCTCCACCTAAATCAGAAAATAAAACAAATGTGGACCACTATACTAAAACATCAGTAAGGACGGCTAAATCTCGTCATAGTGTCTATATTATATCGGCCGGAAGTAGTCAGATTATGACTTGTACATTTTTAAACAAAATAACTGACAATCTAAGAATATTAACTGTCTATGTAAACTACAAGTCATAATTTGAAACAAGAGTAGATCGAAAATTAGAGACTCGGCAGAGATCAGGGGACTAAAACGGGGAGTTGTAGACCTTGTTGATTTTAAACCATTTTATAAAATTACTGATTTACATGGGAGGTGCCTATGGTTATAAAGAGAAAAGATCTCGTTATGACTTGAAATCTTTCTCCTAATGATAATATATTTTTAATAACGATATCTTTTGTCGTTATGCGGAGATCTTTTCTCGTTATTACGAGGTCCATAATGAGATATTTTTCTCGTAATTTTGAGATTTTTTCCCGCTTTAACAATATTTTCTTTTCTCATAGCAACGGTATAATTTCTCGTTATTACAAAATATTTTTGGATATTTTTTTTAAGAGTGAGACTCCGGTTTTTGAACAAAAATCCAAATCTTAACTTTATCTGTTTCTTAATTGTCTTGCATGATTTAATGGAAATTATATGGGATTCTTCATTCTTTTTAGAAATGGGAGTTACAAAGTCCTCCATCGCATTTTTTTTTCTTGGGAAACAACTACTAGTTACTCTTCTTATTAGAGTGACGTTTCAATGGTATAAAAGTTTTGCCTTTGTAATTCTCAGAAATTCGTTTTTGAGAAGGAAGTAAAACTACAGAAAATAATAGATGTATTCGTCAAAGTCACTTAAATATAAAGGTTGGAATTTCCTGTTCAGAAAATTGCCGCTAAATCACTCTCTTCAACAATGCTGTGAACTTGTGCCACTGCAGAAAGTCTTCGGTCTATCTTACCAAAGAATGCAGCGACACGTGGTCACAGTCTTACAGGCTTATGTGGAAGGTCCGTGTCTTTCACTTTCTAATGTCAAGATTTTGATGATGGAACTGTAGCTAGTCGGATTCAGCCGAAGACAAACTCACAATTTTGTATATGACATATTGCAATTGTTCTACCACTAATTAATCAACTGCTGTAGATTGACTCTGCACACTAATGTTCTGAGAAACTCTCCGTTATGATTGCCGCTAACTCTAGATTATACATTTATAACTTTTAAAAGTTATTTATCCAGGCCCCAGGACCATGAAGCATACTAAAATGTTGTAGAAGTCAAGCAGGCCAAAACTAATGTATTTTACAATATTGCTGTACAAAAGTGTTGTTATCTGCAAACTTAGAGATTAATTCAATAAATGATAAACATTTTGCAGGCAATTGAAAATTTGACTTATGTCAAAGTCTGTTTTATGATCCTGGGGCCAGTATTATCACACATCCTTTTATTTTACAGATCTGACTTTGAGTTTTTGGTTTTATAAGTTTACGATTGGAATACACCAGTTGAAGTTCTTTTTTCTTGGAAACCCTCTAGTTTTGAGTTGACTTTCCCCTCTTCCTTATCAGTCTCTCGTAGTTTAATTTCTTTTTCGTACCTCCTCCATATGTCTCTATGTATGAACCCAGCTTTCTTTTTAAATTATTTCATTTGGTCTTGCATCCGTCCTTAATTATTTCTGTTATGACCCCCTTGAGATTTGGGCGCATTTTTTCCCTTTTCAATGAGTCAAGTAGTTGTTGACTTCGCTCTAAAAGTAGCACTTCACATAAGGGTTTCCGTGTCAACTTCTCTTATTGTTCCATAAAGATAACTCTTACTCCTGCCTGGAGTATTACTTGTAGACAAAGGTTTTGATAAAAAATAGGTTGGCTTCTATTTTTTCCTCTATATTGACTTAAATTTTGTCTATGCCAAAATTCAACCATTAAATCAAGACTGAATTTGTATGTTATGTCTATTTTCAAACTACGTGAAAGCAGCAGGAGATGACAGGCCATTGACTTGTCATGTTAACAACTCTTAACCTCTAGTATCAATAAATCCCACTCAAAATTTTTAGAAATGTAAATTGTGGTATAAAACAATAGATACAATATAACAATAAATGTGAATGTATAATGTAAAAATCACCAAAGAACATGTAAAAAAAAAATTAAAAGGGGAATATTCATACTTATGCGTTAACCCGTAAAACAATCACGCACATGTACCCCAGTCCATAAATTACATGGTGCCGTAATAAAGTGCTAAAACACACGCGCCACAAATATGGGAATTTTGTAAACACTTCCTCGATTAGCTTTTCCAGATAACATAGAAAAGTTCATTGATAGTCGCTAGATCATGGCAACAAGGGATATTTTCGCTTGATTTATGGTCGGCTATTACCCATGAAAACAAACATCAGTTAGGGGCCTCAGTAGAATGTTTTATCACTGATGTATATATACCCCTAGTCAAATCTGGAATTCGTTGTGACATACATGTATATTTGTTTTTATGGAGGAACAGCGGATATGTACTTTTCCGGTTTCTAGATATGTTATTTCCTACATTTGGTTCTTGTAAAATATTTTGCAAATAATCACATCTCATTTGATGATGTGAAATTACATTTTTATGTCTGGCATTCGGATTTGATCCAAGGACAGTCTTTCTTCCACGGATATTCTGATAAGCAATGGTGAGTACATACGGTATTTTATTTACTTGTAAAGGAAATCATTCGTACAAGCGTCATTTTGTTGACCTGAAAAGGAGACGGCTGAATGATAATTGGTCCATATATATATGGATCATTGGAAATATATTACTAAGGTGTACGTTACAAACCATTGTTGAACAAGAAGTATATTACTTTTATTTTTACATGTAAATTATTGGAAGACGAGACTTATGGCAAAGATTTCCTGAATATCTGGGCCAATGATATATTTTAAAACAAGTTTTTATTCCTTGGAAAAAGCATATTATCACTTATGACTCATTTCTCCTAATGTGATTTATTTCAAGACAGCTTCATGTGTTAATTGTCAGTTTAAGATGTTCATATTATCACTTGAAAGGTTGTCCATATCTATGATTAATAATCATTAACAAGAGTTTAACCTTTCTATTTATTCTTCAGACACACAAGTTCTCATCGGAGCAAGTCGAGGGTAAGCTACCTTAACTGACAATGATGTCTTATTTCCAAGTACAAAACAAAAAGAGTGCAGTCAAAAATGTTCATTAAAAACTGAAACAGTTAAAAACACATATCCTATTCAGGACATATCTAGGATCTCAAATGAAAAGGGGGGGGGCAAAGTTTTAAAAAGTCTTTTGCATAGAAACAATTGAAAACTAACAAGGAATATTACACCTCTTATTATGTTCAGTTGCATAATGTTTGATTTCAATTTTAAAGTGAAATCCCCCTTTAACTCACTGTTGCATTTTTTGGTATCTGGCTCATTTTTTTAAGTGGGATGTAAGGCTTTCCAAAAGAAAAATGAAAATCTTCATAAAAGTTTTCCTTGATGTAATATTATTTCAAAATATCAAATTCAAACTTGAAATGTTTCATATTCTGATAGGGTAAGTCAGGATAATTTCGACCACCGTTTAATTTCGACCACAGGAACACAACACCACACAAAAATCTACGGAAGTGTTGAGACAAGTTTAATTTATTCGGAATTATAGAAAACTATTCCTCAAATATTAGTCTATATAATCTGTCATGGTATTCACATATTTCAAGTTAACTCTACCGGTGTATATAAAACATTTACCTGTTCAAACCGAGTCTTACAGAGTTCAAAGCGGTTTTGTCGCTTCTTCCTGGAATTGGGTAGTTTGTGGTTGAGTCGGATAAGAGTCGGTATCTCGAATGAAAAATATATCAATAATTAGTCTGTATATAATATAAGGAGACCGAAAATTTTACATAGGGAAATACTACCTAGAAAAACACCAATGTGGGATTCTACGGCTGCACATTTCTGTCACCACTTGTCAGATATTTATTCCGACGTGTTAGATGCTAATTTCGACTTGGCAGATATTAACGTCCATTTGTCATGTCTTTTTGTCGACTTGTCAGATAATGTAAATGCCAATAACTGACATTTTCTTGTTATTATATCTGACAAGTCGACATACGTGCCCAACAACTAAACATAATTTTATGACAAAAAGACATGGTTTTCTGAAAACCAACATAATTTTCTGACAAGTCAGCATAGATATCCACGTAACATTTTCCTGACAAGTCGAAATAATTTTTGAAAAGTCGTCATAATTATCTGACAAGTCGACTTAAATTAAAAAAAAATAAAGTCGCCTGTCAGATAATAATATCGACTTGTCAGATATTATATCGACCTGACAGATAATGTAAGGGGTTCGTTCGACATGTCGGAAAAATTATGTTTTTAAAATTGTTTTAAGTTATGTTGACTTGTCAGATATCTGTCAACTTGTGTGAAATATCCAAGTCTTCTTGACAAATCGAAATAATTTCTGATAAGTCGATATAATCCTGACAAATGACATAATTAGCTGACAAATTAAATGGTTGCAGAACTATGTCACCATAAAACATAATGTCCATGTTCTTTTCTGAGATGTGGCAGACATTAATTATTTTGATAAAAACACATTACGTATCTGGATTACGTTGCTGTCATTCAGATTGGTCAGATTTTTCTTATGCAAGTAATTAAGATTATGTAAGTCTGTTATGTTCTCTTAATGCGTATACAGGTAAATGACATTTCTTGAAAGTAATTGAATCTGTTTCAAATCTCCACGTAGTCATTACACATATTATAAATTTATCGGTTATAAATAGTACATGAGAATGAACTCCTAGCAAATCAAAACCTATCTATGCAATCTTTTCGTGACAATTTATAGACCATTTTATCCTTAAATAGTTTTCTTTATTCCTTTTGTTATTCTTTTTTTATTTATATAAATCAGGATAATGGAAAGCATGCTTTCACTTAAAACTGAAATCGCTGAAATTGAAAAACATTACTAACCCATTAAAATTTTGTCTAATGAAATGTGCATGTACTATGAGATAAAATAATACACTAAATATGAACCCTAAAGAAACTCCACTCCAAGACTCCTCGGCTACATTGTGACTATCTCTATTCTCACAGAGTATCGGGAGGCATTTAACTTGTTTGACAAAGATGGGGATGGGAGTATCACCACGAGTGAGTTGGGGGTGGTCATGCGGTCCCTAGGTCAGGAACCTACAGTTAAAGAACTAGAGAACATGATAAGAGAGATCGACGAAGACGGTATGTGTTTTTTTCGAACTTGATACACTAAGTATGCGCGGTAGATAAACAGCCATTTGTATAGGAGATGAATTAGCTGTAAAATTGTGTTATGTATATATAAATGATATTAAACATACAGTGAAGTGTAATCATGTATATATAGTAAAAATAAATACACAATTAGGTGTGCCTTATGTATTTGTAAGGTTTTTTTTGTTTGCTTGATTAACATCCCTTTAAGAATTTTTTATTCCTATCGAGACGCCACCACTTGGTGGTGGAGGACTGCAAGTTTAGACCTGTACTCGGCACTTATAATCTTTTAGCAGTGAGGGACCTTTTTCGTGCCAGCACCTACTACGACAAGGGATCTAGGTTTATAGGTCTCATCTGCAGGACCGGACTCCACGTCACACAGTGGATTCGAACCCTCCGAAGGAACAACTCCTTACGCCGTTATTCTAGAGCAAACGCTCTTACCACTGCGCCACACGGACGACTATTTGTAAGAATTAAGATACTGAATCAAATGTCTTTTATGTATAGGTGATAAATTACATATGTACTATGAATGTACACATATTTGCTAAATAACTTGGGGGCAAAGGGGCCTCGTGTACAGGTGATAGCTGATAAAATATATAATCATACAGAGAAATCTAAGTGGAATACATTGCGGTGTTTTTAATTTCACTCTGTTCGCGGACAAAGAATTTTCTACAAAAAATTAAACCATTGTGAATATTGTTAACATATCAATGTAACATTCAATTATCTTTACTTTAAAATCCCGTTTTTCTATTTCGAAACAAGTTGAAAATGATTAGGAAACCTAAGTTTGATAACAAAGGCTAGTTGAAATTAGTTACTGGATACGTTTATTGTAAATAATTTACCAAAACTTTCTTTGTTTTTAAAGAATGATTCAAAGAATTGCAAATAAAAAGTAAAGAGAAATTCAGCGGTCTTGAAAATAAAACCACCAGCGTGAAATGTACCAACAAAGGAAATCGTGAAATATTAAACATGTGAAACTAAAGATGTTTATAGTATGTGATTAATTACAAACGAAGGCAAATGTGCCTCATTCAAGGATGATGTTGCCCGTGTGGCCCAGTGGTTAGGGCGTTTCCTCTAGAGTCGCTGGAGTAAGGAGTTGATCTTTACGTTGCAGGTTAGAATTCCACTGCGGGACGTGAAAACTGGTCCTTTGGATGAGACCATATAAAGCAAGGTCCCCTGTCGCAGAAGGTGCTGGCACGAAAAAGATCCTTCACTGCTCAAAGGCCGTGGGTGCCGAGTACAGGTCTGAATTTGCAGCCCCCCGCCGGCATGTGTAAGGGATTTTCACATATAGGCAAAGGAGATAAATCATCCTCAGGCATTACCTAGAATTTAGGAAATGAATTAAATATATACATGTATGTACATAAATCAAAATGTGCTTCACGTTCAGATGTTACATACACTTTTATCTTGCATATTACTTATATCTGTACAATGAATCTTTTATTTCACTTTTATAAAAAAGACAAAGACAATATCAAACAAGTAAGGAAAGTTAATTCCATACAAATAAGAGATATATTTTCCTAAAATAATCAGATAAAAAGGTCTTAATGTAGGAGGAAGGAACTACATGAAAGACCTGACAGAAAACCTTTGTTTATTTTATTGTTGCCACACTGTATCTATATTGTGTATTGTCGGGATTATGCAAGTACAATAACCATATTAACTTCATGCAGAATGTTCTGATAAAATATTCAGATGTTTTCATATAAAAGCTTCTTATATAAACTACTTATATTTCACATATCACTGTACATCATTTATCATTAATGACATTCTAGACATACTTTAAATGCAGTGCAGCATTATATAAGCATGATAGAAGCGAAGATAACGAACAGTGATCAATAAGAAAGGTGACGATAATGAACAGAGATCAGTTTCATATTATCCTTTAAACAATAGGAATCGTGAACATTCCAAAAGTTCAGATGCTTGGGAACACCAGAGATGGGGTCAGTACGTAGGAGGAGTAAGCATCTGTGTCACATAATGGTTTGGTCTGCCTCGTTTAAAGGCCCAGAGGACCAAATACGATGCCATATAAGTTCCGCCTTAATAAGTAAAGGCCTTCTTATATTAAAAGGTCCGGGTAGAGCAAAAAAACTATAATCTTGCGTCCTGTGCTTTGAGAACAACACCTCTTCCCTCCCCCCATACACATAAAATAAAGTAAATGTGAAAACGTGTCGAATTTCCCCCGGCAGGTAGCAATAGCAAAGTGTCGGTCCTGAGTCTGCGTAGTATCAGATCTGATTCGTTTATTTTAAAGTTATGACAAGGAACACATTACTGCACTGTTATGATACTCATTCTTTTAGATTGTGATCTATATAATTACGAGTATAGTCTATTTTTATAAGAATGTTTTAAGAAATTGTTCATACCAAATGGAGTTCAATACAAGAACCAATTATTATAAGAAAAAAAAAACATACGTATTTTATGCATTTTAATTACATGTATGAAGCTTTTTGCGCGAAGTTCAATTGACATTTCTCCATAAGTCATCCACATATTGCAGGTCTGTATAACAGTGGGGGGGGGGGGGAGGGAGGGGCTTATATTTTGCCAACATATATTTAACAATAGAAGACAAGGCTTTAAGACGTTACACACGGTGTTGGTTCACACAGACGTTAAGAAAAAGTACCAATAAAGTCATTTAACAATATAACGTTTTGAACGTTATTTATCACATTAATTATCTTAAAGGCTACACCTTTGAATATTTGAATCTTGTAATGAAAATTTTGTAATAAATCTAAGAAGTAAATGCTTAAGTAAGGAATTCACACAGGTACTTAACAGGATCTCAATTATCTTCATACATATTCTTTTCTAATCCTCTTATTTCTCTTTTTTCACCTTGTTCTCGCTCCGTCTTACAGTCTCCCTTAAATAATGATAAGAAGAAATAGAATAAAAATAATTTGTTCGCAGCATGATAAAAATTTCGCCATCTGAGTTTCTGATATTATTACAAATTGAAAATTGTGGACGCGGTCAACTCCCGTAGCATAAAAAAATAGGGATAGTTTCAGGGTGTACCTTAGAACGCAGCATAATAAAAGGCCCACCCTCTGTATTTCAAGTATCTTCATGATACAATGTGAAAATTGTTGACATGGTTTATTTCTGCAGCATAAAAACTGGAGAAAATTTCAGGACGGATATAAAAAAAAACATGCATAATACATGTAAAAGGTCCGCTCACTGTATTTCAGATATCTTTATTACAAAATGAAAAGTGTTTAAATGTGCTGATATCAGTCGTTTTTATTTACAGACGGACACATATATTTTCTACATTGATAGCAAAACAGGAGGTTCTGATGTGCGCTGATCTGTTTCGCTTTATCTGATTGGTCAATAATTCAAAATGTAGTCAGTCGACCAGTCAGATGAAGTGAAATGAAGTGATAACATCAAAACCTCTGTATTGATGTCAAGGGAGAAATTGATATGCGTAAAATACTAAGGATTGTGTTTAGGTTAAAAATACAGGGTGCTTGCAAAGATATGATACATGCAGGTAACACTGTTATTACCCTGGAATACATAAATTTTGTTTCTTACCTTGTGTATTTTTATTATACCGTATATGGATAGGTGAAGATAACAAACAGTGATCAAGCTCAAAAAATCTACAAAAAAGAACTTTGTGAAAAGAGCAAAAAACACGGACCCCCGGAAATTCCAGACGTCGGAAGAAGTGCCTTGTAGGAGTAAGCATCCCCTGTTGACCGGTCACGCCCACCGTGAGCCTATGTATTGATCAGGTAGACGGAACATTCCATAGTCAAATTTAGTATAAAAACAAAGGCCTAACAATTGGTATGAAATATATCAGCCAAAATACAACCCAATGATAGGTTATATTTGTTAACAAGGTAATCATAACGACCATAGATTTTACGAAATGCTAACTTTCAACGAGGTTGTTGAAATCCCTGCAACTTCAATTTATCTATCAGTAGCCTGCCTAGGTTTAAACATTAATCGTATTTAGAGCATGCTCTTGAGTATCGAATAAGGAGATATTGGAATATTACTACATAAATAAGGAAAGTTGACAATGGAAAAGTTATGTCATCTCGTTTGTCATACAATTTAGTTTTAGTTGGTCCTTATTGTCGATAGTTAGTAAAACATCCAAATATGAAACAGATGTGACAGAATCTGAGATACCTTATATTTCAAGTTCACTGGGATATATCGAATCGACATATGAATGAAAGCAACTATTGTTAATTGTTCAAAGAAACCACAACAAGTGTTTTGTTTTCTAATGTAGAAGTTTTTGAATAAATTCTGTTGAATAGGATTATAAAAACCTGTCAGCTTATAAAAGAGCACAATTAGAGTTTATCGAAATTCCAACAGTATGTTGAAAGACTTGGTCTTCAAAGACTACATGGATGTTGTCAATTAGGAAACCGAACATCCATTTAATATCAAAATAATTACTTGTGGTTAGAGTCAGAATGATTTTTAACAAAGTAATTTTGTTGATTACCAATCACAAGATATGAGTCAGATCATTTTTTAAACTGAGGCGGGCTACTGACAGATAAATTGATGTTAGAGGGATTTTAACAATCTCGTTTAAGGTCTTTCGATTGTATTTTGACTGAAATATTTCATACTAATTGTTAGGCCTTTGTTTTTATAATAAATTTGACTACGGAATATTCTGTCTGCCTGATCAATGCATAAGGCTTGCGCCAGGTGTGACCGGTCGACAGGGGATGCTTATTCTTCGTTGACACCTAATCCCACCACTGGAATTTCCAGCGATCCATGTTTTATGCCCTGTTCACTGGAATATTAAAAATATTAAAGACTGAATTGTGATTTTGAAAAACCCTATCTTTAGAAAGTGAACTGTGAGTATTAGTTGGATTTCCAGATGTAGAATTAAAACCTTCTTTAACAAGTTTTCATAATGAGCCTTACGAACAAAGACGATGTTAGCTGGAACCATATTATAATATTATTTGTTGTCTTTCTAGTAAGGATGGCAATTTGTAACCGGTTAACCGATTACTCGGTCGGAACGATGGTAATCGGTTAGAAAATCTGTAATCGGTTAGTCGGAAAAAATAAAATAAATGTAAATTTGAACACAATTTCCTTAAAATTTATTTCTAAAAAAGAAACCTTTGCATAAAAGTTGATAATTTAGCATTTTTACCTATCTGTTTAAGCTTATTTGGAGGTAATTATTGCTCTCCTGATTGAGATCGCGGTTTAATTGGTCAGTTTGTGAAGTTTTAATTACTGTTTTTAAAAACATCATGTCGTTACCCCGACTGTCCTGTAATTCTTTAATGATATTAAATAAATCACTGTTGAGCACTGTGAATTAGTACAAGTATGTCTATCTTTTCCCGCTATCTATTAAATTATATCATTAGACAAACATTGTAAATTAAGTGAAAGTTCAGACATAGTTTTGATTATGGTGACAATGCAGAATGAACATGTGAGATATCTGTTTCTTAAAATTATCAATGTCTGATTTTACAGGCACGCATGTTTCATGTTTTTCTTAATTTTTTTTGTTGTATAATGAAATTGAAATAAAATATATGTACATGTAGTTTCCTGATCAAGACAAACAGGATGTTTCTAACTTCTAACATTTTTTGCCTTCTTGTGTATATGAATAGAGCTACCTGAAAAAGATGTCCAAAAATGTGTATTTTGATACGAATAACCGACTAATCGGTCGGAACGTCTTGCGGTTAACCGATTAGCAATTCCGTATTCGATTGCCATCCCTACAGTTTCTAGTTCTTTTATCATGTTCCGATTGATTGAAAACGGAATGATAGATAGTTCGCATATGACCTTTTAACTTTCTAACACGATTCTTTTAAATATTTTTAAAACACATAACCCATTCTAACAAAGTGTTAGGTCTTCTCGTCATATTTCGACCATCGTCTGGCATAATCCTCGACAGAATTCAAACTAGAAATGTTCTGTCGCCAATTAAAAGATCGGGGCTCCCTGTATTTACGACCTTTTAAAATGATTGAATTTTTAACTATTTTATCATTACCAGTAATGGCGTGTCCTGTTGGACTATAGTAGAATAAGGTGAAGAACAAAACACTTAAGAGGATTTTGTTTTAGATGTTTAATGTCTAGGCACTGTAAGGATCAGGTTCCCTGAATTGTGGACAGTTTTAAATTATTGCTTTCAGATCGTCATTTTCAACAATATTCACATCACGAGTAATGATGTCCGGCAGGACCATTGTTGAAAAGAGGGGAAGAATAAGAATACTTAGTGGGACTTTGTTGTTGATTGTCAATACCCAAGCAATGTATCGTTTGTTTATAATTGAAAAGTTTATATGCAACAGTTTTGGAATATATTTAGGAAATGCAGGATGATGACTTCAAGGACTGATTAATACAGAACATACCTATTAAAATCACATTAATTCAAATATTAATTTCCCAGTAGTTATTTTCAGATTTTTTTTGCACGGGTTGAAATTTTTTTATTAAATTAAATTTTTACTTAAACTTGGCTACGATTCAGCTTGACTGGATATTTGGAATGAATCTCGGGCGTCATTCATAATTAATGATTGGGAATCCAAACTCAAATTTTGCCGATTCTAGCTGTTAATTTGCACTTAAGTGACACTGAAATTGGCTTCAAATAAGAGATTTTAATGTTTAACTACCGCTTTATAAATAGTTTAAATGATTATATTGCTGGAAATCCCCCCTCCCCCCAAATCGGAAATGTAACGACCATTCCGATGATATCAGCAGAAGATCAGTCAACGATTTATTCAATAATTTTAGTTTTACTGAATGAATCAACTTAGACATAAAAGTATCGCCTCCCAGTTTGATATTTTTTTTTAATTCAAATTAAAGTGTTGATTAGAGGATGTCAAATTTTATAACTTGTAACTGATTCAGCGAGTTTGCTTTCAATTTTTATTAATACCTTTTAATGGAAGATCGCTGTCTATCATGGAGAAAAGTACATTTGGATATATTTTTTTCATACGTGTATTTTTTTTAATCTGCAACGTGTATGTACATGTAACAGTGTTTCAGATTGGTGTTTTCACTTATTAAACCTCTTTCTCTCATAAGTTTTTCAATCTTTTCATTTAGATGATAGAAAAGAAAACGTTATATATTTTGATACGAACAATTTCCCTTTTAATAAGTCTTATCAACGGAATAAAATCCGACGTTAAAATATCATCTGTTTTATTTTTATTTTTTATTTTCTAGGAAATGGTGCCATAGATTTCGATGAATTTTTACATATGATGGCGAAGAAGCAGGCAGAATGCACTGACCCGGAAGAAGAGTTAAGAGAGGCATTCCAGGTGTTTGACAAGGATGGGAACGGTTATATAAGCAAGGAAGAGCTCCACCAAGTGATGAACAATCTAGGCGAGAAGCTGACAGACGAAGAAATAACCGATATGATTCGAGAGGCAGACGCCGATGGCGATGGACAGGTCAACTATCGGGGTGAGAGAGAAAGAGACTCCTTATTCTTCTCACATATTATTATAGATTATTATATATATATTATAAATTACATATATCATTATATTATTATATATTATAAATTACATCTATTTTACATATCTTATATATTATTGTGATCCTTAGATAGACTTTTATGCATTATGCTTGTACGTGGTCTGTTAATCTTTTCGATTCATCCTTCAGAACCCTTTAACTATTTCCACCTGCATATGGGGTTTTCGTCACCCAGTTGATTCGATACGCAAGAGCATGCTCTACGTACGAACGATATCGATTTCTAAAACGAGGCAAGCTATTGATAAACAAGTTGATGAAACAAAGATATCAACAGTCTCGTTTGGAGTCATCATTTCGCCAGTTCTATGATCGATACATTGATTTTGTCAGCAAATACAATCTATCATTAAGGTGAATACTGACTGACGTTTTTCATACTAATGAAATACGGAGATAACGAATAGTATTCAAGCTCATAGTCCATTAATCAATACAAATCGGGAGCAGAGTAAACACGGACCTCCAAAAACATCAGAGGCGGAATCAGGTGCCATGGAGGTACACACCCGCCGTGTGCTCCTTGTCATGATCAAATAAATGGAAAAATCAGTATAAATTTGTGTGTAAATAATGGCCTTACAGTCAGTATGAAAAACGTCAGTTTTGTTGTTAGGTTACGTCTTTTTTCAAGTAAAATTTTCAAATATGAAAGCGATAAGTCAGACTCTGTGGTATCTTTTAATTCAAGTTCACTCTGATCTATCGAGTCGACATATGAATGCAGGTAACTATTATTAATTGACAATACGATCTTGAATATCGAATAAGTTGGGAGATAACACCATATGCAGGTGATAGCGGGATATTACTACATAAATAAGGAAAGTTGACGATGGAAAAGCTGAAGTTATCTTGGTTGTCATAATTGGTCCTTATCATCTATAGTCAGTAAAAAATCCAAATATGAAACAGATGTGGCAGACTCTATGGTATCTTATATTCTTATATCTAAATTTCGAGTTGAAGGCCACAGCAAGCGCTTTCTTCTTTTCATGTAGAAGATTTTGAACACATTCTGCTTCAAATAATTACAAAAATAGGTCTGCTACTGCATAAATGTTGTCAATCGGAAACTCAAACATCTTTGTATTATCAACTTCAGAGTACTTGTGTGTACAATCAGAATGATTTTTAACATAATAATTTTGCAAATGACCAATGACAAGGTAAGTATATTTACGAATTGTAACTGTTACGCCATTATTTACATACTGAACTGTCTATATTTTTTTCCGTTTGCCCAATCATGACAAGGAGTACTCGGCGAATGTAACTGGTCGAAAAGGGATGCCTCTTCCGCCATGGCACCTGATCCCACCTCTGATGCTTTTAGAGCTCCGTGTTTGCTCTGCTCCCGATTTGTATTGTTTCAATAGACTTTGAGCTTGATTAATAATGTTCGTTATCTCCATATTTCATTCATGGTAAAAGAGGAGTTGCAGATAAGAGATGGGTACCCTAAAGCGTAACGGACGGACGGAGGGACTAACTGATGGACGGACACCCCCATCACTATACATTCCCCGCTTTTCAAGTATAAAAAAGAGAGTTATCTGGCAAATGAGTTGATGGAACCAGAGACCAAAACGTAAATAAAGTCCAGCATAAACCACTAGGCCACGCATACTACTAGTAATAAACTGAATCGTGTCTATTGTATAAATTATACTATAAATTATACTTGTACATGTAGCTCCTCATTAGGGTGTTTTGGAAAATAGGATCAGTGAAATGTATTATATTTCTTTTTTTTATATGAGACCAATTCAACCAAAAAGATATAGATGTAATAATAAACTATCCTATCGAAAGAACATAACAAATTCTCTAGTTTGTTCACAAATGCAAAATTTACTATTTTTCAATACATTTTTAAAAATTTCCAAATTTTGCAATAATGCTCTCCAAATCACCAGACATAACAGGGCCCTACTGCTAATAGAATAATCGACAGTTTTATTAAGTTTAATTGCTCTTTAATGATAACGTCGTGTAACTATTTGATCATTAGCATTTAATGAATAAACCGGAAAGATTAAGACGAAGGAAAAAATCCAATCAGCGACAGTTTATGTACCATCAAAATCTTTCCTCAGATCTATGTTTTGAACATAGTAGCGACGACAAATATCATTACTGTTTAGATGATTGCCATCAAAGATAAAGTCCATCTTTTCCTAATAGCAGTATATGTGTAATAAATTACTGATGCAGATTGTCGTCTCGGATATGTTTCAAATAAATCTAGTGATCTTGTATAAAATATCAATATCAATAAAAGATATCGTGTTTTCTCATTTTATATGATAAATAATACTCTTATGTATCTTAACTACATGTGTATATCAAGTTCGGAATATTCTTTGAATTGACAACAGAATATACATATATGTACAATCATGTTATCAATAAAAACAATTTTAATACCTCTGGGTCAGATTTCATAAAAAAAGGAAATTTAATCAAAATGGCGACAACTGAGGCCATATTTGGAATCAAAACATTCATGGGCATAAAGACCACACTGTATACTGAAATATATTGAAATATATTTTAAAACCTTTGTTATGGTTACAAACCTATGACTTGTAATGTATGTATTTCGACATACGTTTAAGAGATGAATTTAATTTTTGAGAACTCTTGAGGACATGAACTACGACGCTTCACGCCGGCATAAGCGTTGTAGTTCATATACCTCATGAATTCTCAAAAATTAAATTCATCTCTTATATTTAAATTATTTTTCTGATGAATTGCCACATGTTTTTTCATTCAACGATCATTTTTGGAAAAAAAAAGAAGTTTGCACTACTTTTTGACTTCAATTACATCACAATGGAAATATTCTTACTCGTCCCACGATAGTTCATGAGAACGTAAACTTTTTTCTAATTTGCAAAGAATTTTAAGGAAAAATATTTGGAAATGTAAATATTTAGAAATTAACAATAGTTTTCTGGAGATAACATTTTGTAACGATCTTGAACCACATATTTTCACGTACATCATATCATTAAAAATATGCAAAATTATGTTCTAAATCGTTTAAATTCATGGCCCCTTGGTCCATGGTTCAGGCCATAGGTCGTGACTTAAATTGTCACATATTGAAAATACATGACCTCTTTAAAAATCGTCTTCTTTTCTCATTCACATTAATCAGGCAAATAGCTTGTAGGATTATAATAAACACTGAGTCCTCCGCTAAAATTGTAAATTCATGGCCCTGGGCAGATGATGCATGCCCCAAAGTGGAAGTCACACATCGAAAACTCATTACATGTTTGAAAACCTTTTCTAAAGGAAATGTAGCGGCAGTCTGATTACAATGTATATGATTACAATAAGTGCATAATTGTTCACCAAAATCGTAAAAATTTGTGTTTCCTGGGTCCATGTTTAGGCCCCAGCGTGCATGAGGTGCATGTCGGTATATTAGAAAAAAAATATCGCATGATTTATCAATATCCTGTACTCGAATTTCAATGTCAATTTTGAAAAACTGTATTTTTACCAATTCATAAACAATGTGTGCAGACTGAAATCCTCAAAGGATGAAGTCTATGAACTTGAATGTTTTTATTTTTTAGAATTTGTCAGTATGATGGAGAAACCCTCACATTCCTCTAACAATACCTGATGTTCGTCATCTTATTATCAGCGGATTATTGTGATCTGTGAGAGAAACTGCGTCATGAGAGAAATCATTAATAGAAAAAAATCATCTGTGCTACTGAGCTTTTTTCCCTTAATAGAATAGCCAGACAGCACCAGGAACACCGTTTTTGATTGATTAATATGTATGTTTATAATGTCAAGGACACAAGCAATTTGTGTGTATTTACTGTAAATATACAAGTATAAGCATTATTATTATTATTTTAATTATGTGTCATATTAATTCAGTTGCCTAGACATTTTTTCATTCACGTATTTAAATTTTTTTTTTAATATTCTTACATTCAGTGCATGGTTACATTTTCCAATAAATAAAATTAATATGTTTAAAAAAAATCTTTCAAATTTTTTTTGTTTTGTTTTCTTTATGAATCGATTTTAAAATGAAATCTCTCATCACCTTATTTAAATTTCATTTTAATTTGCCATCTTTACAATCGTCAAACTAGCTCTGTTGTTTATGGGCTAGCTGTCTTTTATTACCGACTGAAAAGAAATGAGATAAAACTGGATGCAAAAAAGTTCTCAAGAGCATGTGAACAGGGCCTAAATTAAGTTCATTGTATTCCATCCATAGTTGACCAACTAACCGGAATGCCACGGCTATCTAATTATAATTAGTGTTTTAATTTAAACCTTAATTTCCGTATCATATAATCGAATTAGGAGGATTCGTTTCGTGACTTTGTAAAGACTGCTAGGATGGAATCTTTTCTTTTGATCTTCAAATAAATCAGGGTTCTGCAGTGTAATGGATATTTTAAAAATTAATTAACCATAAAAAGAACAACAATAAAACTCCAGGTCAAGTTAAAACCTTTTAATGAAAATACACAAACGTTAAATCACTATTACATGGTTTCGCATAGTGTAAAGTGCCCCAAGTGTCAATATTTGGAAGAATTGCATGACTGCACACTGTAGAAAAACTCGGTATTTGACGATAGAAGAAAAATAATTGGTAGTAAACGAATTCTGTAAACTGACATCGAGGAAAACAATGGTGTAATTGTATCTCTTTAGAAAAGGTCCAAACAATGACAACGTATAATTTGAAGTTTTTATAAGTGTCCGCTTTATTGTCATATCCTTTCTTTGGAACTAACAATGCCGAACGTTTTAAGGAGTTAAAAAAAATAATTACAGGTCCAGGTATGTATGTAATTTGCTATGTACAAAAATTCCTTTTAATTATAATGTTTCAATACATAAAAGTATTTTTGTATTAAATATCATTCATATCTCTGTAATTTTCTCGATTAATTGATTTATTTCAAATGAATAAAAGTCTCGCTAGAAAACGTCAATAAACAAATAGTGAGCTATTCAAATACATCACATGCATTATTGATATTGCAAGTTTGTTCAACAAATAAGAACACTTGAAATCAATTTGAAATTAGCTTACATCCGAGTAATAAGATACAAGGGCTTGTGAGCTGGTTGTTAAGTTTGTCTGTTCTTGGAATGCCGTCTTTGTTGATGTTTGGTCATTTTACAGGAAATGGACAACTTATCGGAGGAACAAATTGCAGGTAAAGTCTTTGAGCTTCTTTACTAATATTTATAAACAATATATACAAACACATATGCAGATCCGTAGGTTCTGGCCCGGGCCGATTCCCCGCTCCGCTGCTGTCCCTGACACGTCCTGTCAGCTCGGCATCCACGTGTAGAAGAGATCCGTGCGACTGTCCCGCCGTCTGACGTAATAAAGACAGTAAGTCGTACCACGGGGCAGTCGCACAGATACTACACTCCCCCTGTTTTCTTTGAAAGGCTGGCGTTTACCACAGGAAAGAGGGTCCGGAACCATCTCCAACGTTGGGGCACTGTAAACACCCTCCCGGGCTTACTGCCCAAGAATAAAGAGTGCCGGAGCACACTCCAGGCAAAACCATACCTAGGACTCATCCTAGGTGTAGAAATCCGGGATTACTCCCAACCAGGTGGTATGTCCGGGATAATTCCCAGACAATCATCCTATATCTGTTTAACGATATCGGAGTGGGCCAAGGTCATCAGGCCCACTCACTACTGAGAAACTGTGACCCCAGTCACACCATCAGGCCCTGGAGTGTAAACTCACCCTCCGGCGTCGCTCACACCTCCGCCTTGATCTGTATAAATGACATGCACTATTCTTCTCTGGTGTCGCACTGTCAGACGACAAGGGACTGCCAGAATCATATGGGGTTGTCCCCACTTCCGCAACATGGTCCTTCATGACCCCATCTATATCTACCTCCAGGGTGGAGCCTTCGTCCACAGAACTCAGTGATCCCACAGAAACTTGACCATAGGCCGCCTCATTCGAAGGTTGGGCTGGTCTTGGGGAGAGAGGTGTATCACCGATATCCTCAATACCCGAATCCAATAATGATTCCTCCATCATCTCTTCCACTGGGCCTGGCATACACAGTCCAATTCCGGGATGGGCCAAAGGCGCCACACTGTCTAATTCCCTCACTAGGCGAGGCACAGGTATACAAAGGTCTGCCTCAACTGGTGTGCCTCCTGTCAAGGTCAATCTTCCCTCTGACACATCTGCAGACCTCCTAAACTCCATCTTTATTGCCTCATCCTCCAGGATCCCTTTTCCTAAGTCCAGCTGGGCTTTCCGGGCACGGAGAAACTCCATGCCCAGCAACATTGGGTCATTCAAAGGGGCAACATAAAGCTCAACCTCATGTGTCTCGCTACCCATAGTCAGGTTCACGGGTCCAGCTATGAATCCCTCCAACTTGGAATCCTCCCCAGCCTGTACCATGGTCACATGTTTCCGGATTGGGGGTTTAGGCTTCAGCTGGTCATACACCCTGGTCGTCAACACGCAGACCGCAGACCGCAGCCCCAGTATCCACTACTGCTTTCACCCCGATGCCTTGCAGATGCAGGCTAATGGTAAAGCCCACAGACGAGCTTGACTGTCCTTTGGGTACAGAGGGTTCCTCCCCTTCACACACCGGCGACATCAAGTCAAAATCACAGGGGTCAATCCTCTCCGAATCCTGGGATTCATTACCAACCATGGCTGGTCCAAGTGGCTCCAGAGTGGAGTAGGGAGCTACAGGCTTCCCCGCCTCCTCTTCCAGGGTATCCACTTCCTCCTCAGCCATGCAAAGCCAAGGTGATGGTGGCATCTCAAAATGCACTTTCATTCTGCGGCGCTTGCGCCGATGCCGCATACAGGAGCGGGGAACACCGATCCCCAGCTCCTTGGGATCCAACCTACGGGACCTTTCTCCGGTGGATCCTTTCAGCCTAGCATCGCCCCTCTGCCCATCAGTAGCCACTGTGTTTCCTGTAGCTCGGGTGGGGCAATCTCTACGGAAATGCCCCACCTCTCCACACTTGAAACATACGGCAGGCTTCCGGTTTCGCTCCGTCCATCTGGGTGGCGGGGTACCATTCCTCTGATGTCTCTGAAGATGGGCAGCTTCCCTCTCCCTAATCAACTTCTCAATCTTCTCAAGCCTGCTCCGGAGGGCTTCAAACTCCTCCCTAGCAGGGACATTTATTCTCCAGGGATCGTCCTGTTCAGTGTCCTCACCGAGGATCAACTTCCGCACCTCTCTCTTGGCTTTAGGCCCATGTAGCCGGGAGTGCTGGTAGTATTGCATCCGCTCCACGGCTTCCTCCACAGTCCGCAGATGTCCGTAGAGCGCATAAAAGCCAGCATCACGGTTCTCGGCCCCATAACACAGCCGAGGTATAGCGTGGGTGTGTACATCAGGCACACCAGGGAAAGCTCGAGTTGATAAAGTCAGCACCCTGTCAGCCCACTGACGAAGTGACTCTCCTGGATTCTGATTGGCAGCCTGGAAGTTGAGTTGATTAGTGAGATCGGGGGCAGAGGAGCCAAAACGCTTCTCAAATCTCTGCAAGATCTCAAATAGGCGGAGCTGGCTATTGGTTTCTAACAGCAAGGTGTAGTATTCACTGGCTGCCCCTTCAAGGGAAAAACAAAATTGGTCGTGCTGCTCCTCCTCTGTCCACAGCTGGCTGCGAGATAACCTAACGAACTTGTGCAAAAATGCCTTCCAGCTTGTTTTACAATCATACCTAAGGTCCTTATACCGGGGCTTACTCCCAGTGGCTGCCCTACCTGGGTATGGTGTGGTGCCCTGGTAACCAGGTGAGCCATAATGTATTGGTGTACTAAAGTTGCAAGCCTGATTAGCCGGGACTGACTGACTAGCATAGTATCCTTGATGGGCTGCCCCATACATGTTTGGCTGCACATGTGCTATCCTCTCCCCCTCCCTTCCGAAATGACAGGGAGGGGTATCGGGATGGGTAGGACTACAAGTCACTGACATAGGAACACTATGGTGCTGCAGTGCACTGGGCATAGCCATACCATGGAGTGTGGCTGGAGTACTCTCGCCTCGGTACAACACAGAATGGGCGTGGTCGGGTACTGGGGGTTGGGCATGCCTACCCCCAGGATTGATGTACACTGATGGGGGCGCATGGTAAGGTGTGCTTGTGGAACTAGCATACAGTGATGTAGGTTGGGGTCTGGCAGCAGTCACACCAGTGTCTAAAGCATTTGCTTGTGAATGAACCATTGCTGGTGACACTCCAACTTTTACAGGGGCTGGGGCAGATAAAATGCTTGGCATTGAGCTCCGGGGTTGCAAATCATCCCCATGGAGAGAGGGCGCACCAAAATCTGCTAGTCTAGGTTGGCTCTGTATGGGTGCAGGGTCCCAGGTGAGCCCTACAGGATCTACGGGCACATGTTGACGATCATACTCGGAGGTGAGCTGTGCGGGCCTCACAGGCATCTCAGGTTGCTGACTAACATACAGTGTATGGGACGGAAGGGCGGGGTCAAGTGGGTGTGGTACAACCTCACCCAAGCGGCTTGGTCTATAACCCATGGTAGCAGGGCCCCCCAGGTTAGCTGTGTCTCCCACAAGGACAGGGTGGCTACTACTAGCTGGTCGCACATGACCTAAGAAATACAGATGGTTTGATCCCGAATTCAAGGGAACCTCCCTATATTCATATTTAGGTGGGCTACAACCCACAGTGCTACCAGGTGAGCCACACCTACACGGGCTACCTAGAGAGGCCTCCAGGGAATCACTGGTCATCATCCCTGGTAAGCCAAATTGAGGCTGGACAAACCTTACCTCTTTTCCTGACTTTCCATGTAATACACTACCCTCCCCACAGGGGATGCCCGAGTGCAGGCCGGGCATAGGTGTAGAGGGACCCCCCAGGGGCAACCCCCTTCCCACGTGGCCTGACATTGACTGAGCAAAAGGTGTGTGACGGGAGGTGAAATGTTCGCTCCCGCTATAAACATATGGTGAATAACTCCCCTCCCCGGGGTAAACCCCCATCTTACGGAGAACGAAGATTGAGATTGTCTGACCGCCTGTCAGCCGGGCGAGTGCCCAGGCCTAAAGTCGACACGGCTTCCTCTACCGACATATCCATAATAAAATATCACAATAAATCAGATAAAATCACAGACAATATAAATTCTGAAAGTTGATTCAAAATACATAAAAAAAAATCAACACGTGCTCACACGCACCTAGCAGCACCAAAATGGCGGCTAAAACCGATGCCTAAAGAATTCCTAACTTTGACAGCAGCACGGGAATCTCCCGGGCCCCACGTTGGGCGCCAGTAAAGTCTTTGAGGTTCTTTACTAATATTTATTAACAATATATACAAACACATATACAGATCCGTAGGTTCTGGCCCGGGCCGACTCCCCGCTCCGCTGCTGTCCCTGACACGTCCTGTCAGCTCGGCATCCACGTGTAGAAGAGATCCGTGCGACTGTCCCGCCGTCTGACGTAATACAGACAGTAAGTCGTACCACGGGGCAGTCGCACAGATACTACACAGGTATTCAAAATATATTCTTATAGTTATATTCGACAACAACAGAGTAATTCTAAACACTGTTTAAAAAATCTAATGTAAGTAATTCACTGGTATTTAAACCCGCTACCCCCTCTCCATAATCTGAAGAAAAAATTATTTTTCTTTGTATGTAATATGTTACAATATACACCATGTACATGTATACAGAACCTCCTATGGAAAGCCATCACTGCCTTATAGGATGAAACTATACATTCATTATGTTAACTTTTCATTTCGTAATGTGAACATATAATATCTTTACATGAGGACAACGTTTTATGATGTGATGTAAATATCTTAACATTATGTCAACACTGTATTATTTTCATGAAGAAAATATAACCTTCCATTTTCTCAACACTTAATAATTTGATGTGTCATCAGTTCATAATATGAAGTGAAAATATGTTTACATTTATTTATCATTACTTTATTACATGAAATGAATATTTCTTTACGTTTTCATTTCTTTATAACGAGATGTCAAATTAAATTGCATTACGTAAAGTAAAAATGTCTTTACATGTCTTTTATAATGAAACTTAGCATTACGTTAGGTCATTCCTAGATGTGAGCGTATCTTGATATTATAAAAGCATTATTTCGTGATGTGAATGTATTTTTATATCACATCAAAAGCATGGTTATGTGAAGTAAATATATCTAAAATTTATGTCAATACTTAATTACGTGGTATGAAAAAATTAATTACATAAAGCGAACATATATTTATATTATATCGAACATTATTACATGATGTCAGAACTCCATTCCATGATGTGGATATATATATATAGCCTAGTTGGATTATTTTAACTCTTTCTGATGTGATGTAAGAATAACTTTATATTTTGTGTTAACGAGGTTCGCTCCTGAACTTTTGAGCAGATTCTTATCTTAACCTATATTTCAAAAATTCTGCATAATGTTTTAATTCTTACAATAAATTTGGATTCTACAATGCCAATTTAACTATATTCAGTTAAAACTCCATGATTAAATACCATACCAAAAGCATTAAGTGAGGAACTATATTTTGTGGCGGAAGGTTTATTAGAAGAAAATGATAATTTTTTCTTTTTCGAAGTATTTAAAGTATGTTAAGTTTGGATTCCTATTTTTACATGCAGTCTGCACACATAGTAATTTTGTGCAGTGGACTGTTTTATATTGGTCCTAAATTATCTATTAAATAAACTGTCATGAATTCTATCGTCATATTTGATAAGCGTAGCAAATATATTGTGGAAATGAAGAAAAAAAAATAGCCCTAATTTAAGCTTAAAATTAGCACTATTTTAGTAATATCTAAAAATTAACATCACAGACCCCCACTTTTAATTTTCTTTTCTGAATATATACGATACTTTCAACCAATTTTCTAAAATTCAGTAAAATGTCATTACTTTCAAATGATTTTTTTTCTAGTTAAATTTTAATGCCAGAAAAATGAAAATGTTTGAGTGCAAAAAGGTCAAATAATTGAACATGCGGAGTAATTCGAAAATATCTTCGTTGTTACAAATTTTAATGTGTCTATTTAAGATGAAATAAGACCTTGCTTGTTTACCATAATTTATTTGAACAAAAAATATTGAAGGAAAAACTTTAAAAATTGATTTATGTGTAAGACGTATCTACAGTGCAAAAAGGTCAAACTAAATGCTCTGTAGCGCCAAAAGAAGCGCATTGACCCCCATTTTTTGATTTGATTTTTAATAAAGCTATGTGTATAAATTCTAAAAATATACTTGATAAAAAATTCTCATTACTTTTGATGGCAGGATCCAACCTCCTTAAACCTTTATTACGTTGGTGCAGAAAGTTCAATACGTGTTGTAAAAATACATTTTCATTATTTCAAATCTGTATCTCTTTTGTCGAAATTTCTAACGTAATGTGAACACATCTTTATTATATCAATACTCATTACGTGATAACGAATGTATGGTTCGTTTTCAGTGAATTTATCTTTCCATTTGTGTTGTTGAAAGATCGAGGACGCTTGCGCAATTTAGTGTAGAGTGGACGCGGACGACTGTGTTAACACGACTGGGGGGGGGGGGGGGTCCAGATAAATTAGGGCGAATCATGCATTCATTTTTTTTTTTTTTAGAATTCCAGGGCCAGAATTTCTAATTCCAAAATCTGCCCGCCCTCATCTGAATTAAATGATCGTGCGTTAGTTAGAATCCACGTACACACATCCGTTACGATGTGCTTAACTTCTTGAAAAAATGCAAGTGTTAACAGCTGATAAAAGCTAAGGACAATATCTTTTAGCAAGATTAGGAGTAAGAGACTTTTATGGAAGATCAGTTCAAAATAAATTTTAAAAAAAAAACCATTGTACTGCATAAAACAAAAATTTTATGTAGCATTTGAAGGGCGAAAATTGTCAGATTAAACGTCATTGAGTTTCGACGTTAAAGAAAAATAATTTTACGTCCACAAGGAGCCGCAGTAACATAATCCCACATAAGTTTAAACTGGAAATTTAATTGAGGAAAAATTAGGTCTATTATATAATTTCATATTAGGTGTCTTTTTTTTTTTTTATTTTGCATGTATAACAAAATACTGACACCACAAAATGAACTTATGGCATAACCTAATGAAGGAGTATAATAAGTGTAATGATCAGTAAACACATAACATAAAATAAGCTTTCGGTATCTTATAAAGAAATATTCACATCACACAGTAAAGAGTTGAAATAATATAAGATATGCTGACAACAGGCTATGCACTTTTGATACAATGTGAAGATACAATAGCATAACGTAATAATGATTTGCCAAAACGTAATGACAAATTCAGTAGCATACGTATTGTTGACATATTGTAGTAAAGAATTGACCATGTGTGAACATTTTTTCACATCATATAATGAAATTCTAATATCATATAATAAAGACTTGATATTGACGTAAAGATAAATTCACATCATGTAGTGAACTACTTACACCACATAGTAAAGAGTTCACATATTGTAATGATAAGATGATACACTATAGGTACAGTCAAAGCATTCATGAATTTTCGACATATGATAAAGAGTTGACATAATATAATAGATATTTTGACATAAAGTAAATTATTTTTTACTTAAAGATAAGAATTTTTGACTTGATGTAGCACTGAATCGCAATGATGTGAATACTTCATTACATCTCGTAATGAACATTTAATCTCACGGTAATACAGAATTGAAATGATGTGAAGAAAGTATTTGTAAAATTGACACAATGCTATTAAAGAGCTCTGCTATAAGGCAGTGAAGGCGTTTCTTAACCTCCCATGGCCTTTGAATGGATGTGCTTTAGTGTTTGTTAACCTCGAACATTTGGAAAGGGAATAGAAAATTTACAACTTATTAATATTTTAAGGACAGATGTTTCAAAACAAAGCATACCCCCCCCCCCCCGCCCCAAAAAAATAAAATAATAAGAAAATAATAATAATATTAATAATAATAAAGAAATGGGATGCATGGATTAATTGGTACATGTATATATTTAAATTGGTTTTTGGTGGTGGTAAATGTGGCAAATAATATTATATATGTTGAGCTTTGAATAGTACGGAAGCCCATTGAGATCACGTTTCGTAGGTAAAAAATTGTGAGCTATAACACATAAATTTCGCGAATAAGTCCTCCATCGGTTTTAGTCTGAGTTCAACGAAACCTGGTGTACGAGTAGACTAAACTAAGAATCATAATTCTTTTTCTGAGTCTTACCATTGGTTGAAAGTTTTATGTCCATGTGCTACTCCCCCCTTCTCTCTCTCTCTCTTTATAAAATCAAACTATTAGAGTTACGGTCTCATCAGAGACTTCTGGGTTTGTTTTTTTTTTGGGGGGGGGGAGGGGGCTATCAATATTTGTCCAGCACAAAAGACTGGAATTTGATATTTATTGTATTAATTCCTGGAATACCTTCTTGACCATGGTCCTTGATCTTCTTTTAAATCCTAAGAAAAAGGGGTTTCAAATAAATCTAAATTTATATTCAAATCTTCAGGAAAGATGAAATTAAGTTTGAAACAATCATATCAAAAATGTTACTGTTCCAGTCGACGTGTTCGTAAGAACACTCTTGTTTTTTAATGATCGAACGATTGTGTCTACTAGCTATTTTGCTTCTTATTGTTTTTCCAACTCAATTTGTTAGAAATGAGGGAAATCTTCAGTCTTTTTGACAAGGACTGTGACGGCTACATAGATGTTAGAGAACTGGGAAAGGTTTTAAGGTCAATGGGACTAAATCCTACAGAAGTGGAAATAGAGGACCTCATCAACCAGTACAGGGATGTAGATGGTAAGGCGTGAAATGCTCTAGATTTTATCATTTTATATTATCTTTAACCCTTATCTAGAAAGAATGTAAATATTTTTAAAAATCTCCTTCTTGAATGCAAAAATTAAAAAATAAATGCGCACATAATGATATTCGCTTAAGAAATGGTTTATCTAAAAATAATTAGACAGCTGAAAATTCAAGTCATAGATTGAAATAACTGTTAAATTCAGACAGTGAGGAAAGTTATGAGTCAAACGACGTCAAATTTGGAGATGGGCGAACATAGCGTGCAGAAAGCCTATAGCTTCAGATATATAAAAATCATGTTCAGTTTGTGAAATCAGTATTTGGAGTAAAGTTCTCATTATTGAAATTTATGAAATTATGATAAACAAAACTTTTCTGAGGAAAATTTTCTCGGCAAAATTTATTCTTTTATTAAAAGAATTAATGTGGTATTCGTGGGTTCGAACCCTAGCAATAAAAATCATGAGTATTATTTTCTTTCGAGACTAGCACGCTAACCACTAGACTACACAAGTCCTGATGAATAGTTGCATTTAAATCATGTTTGTGATATGACCCTTGACTTAACGGACTTCATGTATTTCTCGAAAAGATGCGAAGTTTATGTCATAAAAGTAGATGTTTAAGGTATAGTGGGTCATTGCTCCATATTTTTGGTAACCAGAAAATGTATATTTTTATGCAAACTTTGAGGATTAACTTTCAAAAAGGTGGAGCGAAGACCCACTCATATCGAAAAATAGTATTATAGTATGAGAAAATGACTTTTTTTGCCCGCTTAAGTGTGTTTAATATTTCACAGGCAAATAATTTCAATCTTTGAGGGATTTTTGCAAGCTATAGAGATTTTACATAAAGTATAGTTTAATGTTAGACGAAATATCAAGGAAAATTTTGATATATTTTTCATCTTCATGTTCGTCACACTATAGGCTTATCGCTCGTCATGTTCACCCATCTCATTTGTGTATTTTCCCCTGTAATGCAAGGCGACCTTTCGAGGACTGAAATTTGAATCTGAATTTTAATGAGTCCCTCAGTCAAGAGTGATTTGCCAATTTGAAAAAAAGAGATGCTTTAGAGACGCTTGTTTAGCACACGGGGCAGTACTTAAAAAATGATCATGACGTTATAGGAGACGTAAATTACGCTTGCATTCGTGCGATGAGTTACAATTATATGCTTTATTCATTTTTACATTATTTTCTTATAAAATGTGTTATTATCATGAAACTTGATATTTATGATCAGTAAATGTTGTTTTTTACTCTGACAATAAAAGAAATTTAATCTAGAAAAGAGAAACTAAGTTGTTTTCTCTGTCTACAACTTTTTGGGACAACCCTCGCAGAATGAAGCATTACAGTTACGATTTATTGTATTTATGTTACACAGAAAACACAACTGATGACGACGCGGAAGGTAATTTTTCTTTATTTGAATAATGAAGCATCTTTTTCGAAGGTGATGGATATGAGGGAATGGGTTTTGAACATGGCACATGTATCTGCAATCATTATTTTATGCTGAAGCCAGAAGTAAGAAAAAAATGTGTTTAAGAAATACACACATATACAATGTACTAAGATTCAATTGCACAGTATAATGACAACTTTAGTTGGTTACTGAAATCTTAAACACTATCAATGTCATTAAGAAACCCGAGGAATTTCTATATGAATGCATGTATATCGACTATCAGTCTGATTAAAATCAAACCTTCACTTTTTGATTGTCGCGTTCACGAGGGAGCTAGTGAAGGTCTGATTTTAATCAGCTGATCGACTATTTTAAAAAAAAGTAGTTCGGCTTTGAAGGGATTTCCACTTTTCTGACCGAAGCGATCAATTTTTAGACCCTTACTCGGCACTTAGGGCCATTGAGCAGTAAAGGTTCTTTATCGTGACGCCTACCGTGACACGGGACCTCGGTTTTTAAGGTCTCATCCGAAGGATCAGCAACTTTCACTTCAAAGTGCCGAGCGCTAGGCGAAGAAACAGTTGCTTCCTTTTCTTATCAGCTTAGGTCAGTCGCGGCCGTGATTCGAACACACGACCTTCCGATCACGGAGAAATTCATTGAGAAAACATCAGACAAACTGATGTATTCCCCCCCCCCCCCCCCCCCGAATACAGGTTTCGACTCGGAAAATAGTCCTAGCCTCGGGGAACTGGAATCTTGTTAACTCCCTCCCAGAAATCTTTTAACTGTTTTAATATACCGATCCAAAAAGTAAAATCTTGAGGGTTACGGAACCTGAAATTAGCTTTCGAAGCAGGGGTTAGCTCACTTGACGAAAGTATCATGACAAAATGGGGTTTTAGTCCATTCACAGCGATTTCTATGGAATTTTTTTTTTTTTTTTTACATCTAACGCTTTAATTTTTTAAACGTATAGTTAAAAGTCAGTAGAGGTACATGTATAATGAAATTAACTGGCTAGATAAAAATATGACCACCGCCAGAAAAAATATGCGAAGACCTCCAGATAATTCTTTGGCGGTCCCAAGGGGAAAGAAAAGGTATATATTTTAAAATAAATATATTTATTTCAAGTTTTTGTACACTTGGAATCATAACTTTATCTAAAACCAAAGCATACGCATAGAAAGGTTGCTATTATTTAAGAAAAAAAATTTGCATGCACCTGTGTTCATTCCCTTTAGTTAGCAGAGGGGTCGGTAGCAATTCATGCACTAGCCCCTCCCCCCCCCCCTTTCCTCTCCTCACAATTTTATCTAATTATACTACATGTGTATAATTTCTTATAGATATATATTTTTTATTCAGATGGCAAACTTGACTTTTCTGAAGTCATGAAAATTTTGGCAATAAAATCCAAAGAGCCCCCAGAGACGGAGGAATATTTACGCGAAGCGTTCCGAACGTTTGATAAGGATGGTAGCGGGAATATAACGTTAATAGAACTCCGGCAAATAATGACTAATCATGGAGAAAAACTGACGGATGAAGAAGTGGCAGAACTCATTCAAGAAGCAGACGATGGAAAAGGAGAGGTTCACTATGAAGGTACATAATATAGCTACAACTGATTTTTTTTAAAGAGTCAATAACCACACCGACTTAACCTCTATCCCAAGTAAAGTTTCCCTTCGGTATTAACCTCGAATACTACCAGTACTATCATTATTAAGTATATTTATCAAACTTTTTTCTTTTTTTTTTTTTTAGATTTTGTGAAGCTGATCCTCAGCAAGTGAAAGATCAGCATTGTTCATCTCAGATGAAGATTAAAGAAGTGACAGCTAAAGAAATATATGGAACTCTTTATAGTGGCTTATTATAAAGGATAAAACTTTTGTACAGTCAAACGCAAGAAAGGAATGTGCAGAAATAATTACCTTAACATTTTGAAAACAGCAAAAAGTTTTTAAATCAACGTATGTTTTATGAAAAATAAGGTAGTTGATAAACATGTGTGAAATCTACTACTTGTAAATTAAAAAAATCTC